AACCGTTGGAATGGGCGGGGCTAAGAATTCCCTCCTGTCTGTGAGGAGGAGTACAGTGATAAAGACGTCCTCTTCTCCTGGTAAAATAATACTAGCAATATTATAATAGTAATATAATAAAAAATAACAGTCGTGATGAGGGATTCTGCCCTAAAATCCTTTTCAAGGGTAGGACTTGCCCGCTATTGTATTGGAAGATATAATACTAGGCAAGCATTGTTCTTGAGGAACAGCCCCTGATCTGAAGTGACAAAAGCTGTGCGAGTCCTGAAGGAAAGAAAAATCCAGAATAATGAAAGGAATTGAATTTCCTCAATGGGAATATTTTTCAAAAACACCCAGTTCTTTTTTTTTAAGTTATCATCAATTGCAGAAGTGTGGGGAAATAAATATATATAAACAAAGTTTTACACCTGGGCCAAAAAAAAACCAAAGGTGCAAGCACAGATTAGGCGAATCCTGGCCCAAAAACTAACTGTGAGAGGGACCTTGGCGTCTTGGTGGATGATCACTTAAACATCAGAAGTGTGTGGTGGCAGCCAAAAAAGCTAATACAATCCTTGGTTGTAGAAACAGACATAGAATCAAAATCATGTGGAGTATTAACACAACTTCATAAAGCTTTAGTAAGGCCACACCTGGAATACTGCATCATTTTGGTCACATTACAAAAAAGATGTTGAGACTTTGGAAAAAGTGTAAAGAAGAGCAACTAAGATGATTAAAGTCCTGAAGAGTAAAACATGAAGAATGGCTGTAGGATTTGGGCTTGGCTAGTCTAGAGAAAAGGACTAGAGGGGACATGATAGCAGTATTTCAGTATTTAGTGGCTGCCATAAAGAAGAAAGGGCCAATCTATTCTCCAAAGCACCAGAGGCCAGGACAAGAAACAATGGATGGAAACTAATCAAGGAGAGAAGCAACCTGGAATTTAGGAGAAACTTCCTAACAGTGAGGTCAATTAACCAGTGGAACATCTTGCCTTTAGAAGTTGTAGGTACTTCATCACTGGAGTTCTTTAAGAAAAGACTGGACAGTCACTTGTCTGAAATGGTGTAGGATTTCCTGCTTGAGCAGGGGGCTGGATTAGAAGACCTCCAAGGTCCCTGATTCTGATATAGGTATGCAGGAAATTCAGGAAAAGCAAATGTAATGATAATAGAAGAAAAAGATTGTAATGGAAACCAGATAAAGCTGGAAGTCAAAGGTGGATTAATAGGGCTGGTGGCTATACAAGTAGCTCTTGACTTGCAACAGCTCGCTTAGTGATGGTTCAAAGTTACAACCGCACTGAAAAGTGACTTATAATTTTTTCACACTTATGACTGTTGCGGTATCCTCATGGTCATGTGATTTATATTTGGATGCTTGACAACCAACTCACTGGTTGGCAGTGTCTCAGGGTTGTGTGAACACTTTTTTCAATCTTCTGACAAGCCAAGTCAATGTCTATGGAGATTCTCAGTCATCCAAAGAACATCTTCAAAGAGAAACCAGAAAGTCCAGTTGCCTCTTGAAAAAGCACCTTTGGGACAAGCCAAGTCAATGGGGAAACCAGATTCATTTACAACTGTCTTACTAATTTAACCACTGCAGTGATTTACTTGACAAATGTGGCAAGAAAAGTCGTAAAATGGGGCAAAACTCCCTTAACATATTTCTCACTTAGCAACATGAATTTTGGGTTCAATTATGGTCATAAGTTGAGGACTACCTGTATTTTTAATAATAATAAAAAATATATAGAAATTGAAACAAAAAGCAAAGTCAAAGAGCAGACTCAATGGAGCACAAGGTCTTTTTCTGCTATCAGTTTTCCATATTTCTGTGTCTTTTACTCTAATCCAGGGATGTCAAACTCGATTTCATTGAAGGCTGCATCAGAGTTGTGTTTGGCCTCGGGGTCAGGGGGGCATGGTGTGCGTGGCCTGTTCAGTGTCACTCGTGTCAGCGCCTGTGGTGGCCCGAGCACTTTGCCAGCGAAAATGGGCTCCTGAGCTCCATTTTCAGCTGCAGCACCCTCCTGCAACCCTCTGCCAGTGAAAAGCAAGCTCCATTTTCACTGGCAGAGGGTTGCAGGAGGCTGCTGCAGCCGAAAACAGAGTTTGGGAGCCTGGCAGAAGCACAGCGGGCTGGTCCTTCAGTTTCCAGAGCAGCCCCGCAGGCCTTGAGTTTGACACCTGGTCTAGTCCAAACCCCTGCCTGAGGCAGGATGCCTAATACCATCTCAGGCAAACGAAAACCTCCAGCAACAGAGCATCCACAACTTTGAATTTTGACCAGCGGCAATTAAACAGACACTTGCCATTTTAATTTTGATAATTGCAAATCCTCTATACCGACTTCTTTCCTTTTTTGGCTATTACTGTGGGAAAGGAATTATAAGAGACATATTTTCCTGGTGGAATGGTCAGAACAGCACAGCTGTGTCCCGTGTACCTTGAATGGAGATCTACTGTATATTATAAAACATTGTAACATTGCCTGTCTTCCAATATCTAGAGACTCTAGTTCCAATGATAATCTTTACAATGCATCTGTCCTGGCAGTTAGAACAATGCCATGATTGTTCTTGTATGCAGAAGAAAAACAGCAGACATTTGAACATTAAATACATATCAATCACTCTAGTCCCTTTTGAAATAAGGCAAACAAGCAAAAAAAAAATTCCCATAGATCAGTGGCCCCTAACCTTTTGGGCACCAGTTCCATGAAGAGATTTTTCCGCAGACCAGAAGAGGCCATGGTTTTGCATGCTACCTGCACCCTGTGGATGGGGCTTCACTTTTTGGTGTGGCCCGGTTTCTGGCATGCCACGGCCCGGTGCCAGTCAATAGACCGGGGGTTGGTGACCCCTGCTATAGATATTGACCTCTGCTGTTCATTATTTATTTAGTTAATCAGGGCTATCTCATAACACTTTTTTTTTTTGGAAAAAAAGATAAGCAAATATGCTGCTTTGTTTTTATATGTATCTAATATTCACTTTTATAAAAAGATCAATGCTTGTTCATTTGTAAAAAAACAACAACCCACACACAACTACATAAAAATCAGTAAATTTATCTTTAATGGCCATCTATCTCACATGCATGACTGTGTAGCTAACATTGTGAAAAATAATGTATATAAAATAATGAATACACATACATATAAATATAGGCAAATCTAAACCATTATTAAAGGTAGAAATACTATTGAGTGGAATTTTAAATCTTGGAGACTGAACACATGCAGTTTTCTTAGCAGGGTTATGGTTAATGGACAAGGTAAAAAAAAAACAACCACTTTGGTCTATCCTAAATCTCCTTCAACTTTAATTAGATGATCCTGGGAACCCAAAAGTTTTGCACTTGTAGGAGTGGCAAAATCTAGGAGTGGAGTTAAAAGAGAGATCAGTCTAGAATTCCTATGTAGCCACAAGCGGACTAAGTCCAACCCCCTTGAATTCGCGTGTCCCTTATCTAGCTACAAGATGGTGCTGTTAGTTGAGAAGATTAATGTCCAACTAATGCTTAGTACCTGCTTGTAATGGGCAACGAAATTCAAGGTTTGGACTTAGTCCACATGGGGCTACGTAGGAATTCTAGGCTGAGTCCTCTTAACTCTTAAGTCCCTCAAGTTCTGCCACACCTTCTACAGCACCTGGGTGATTTATTTTATGTTAGTTTTTGCTTGAGAATGCCAAACACAAACAATCAAGCCGCTAACCATTTTGATGACTACTTTTGAACTTTCTCCATCTCCTTTATATCATTTTTCAAATGGGACAATCAAAACTATACACAATATTCACATACTGTAGAAGGGAATAACAGTTGCAGCTGTTTTACTTCCATTCTTTTCCCACTGATCCCTAATGTGGGTTTTATTTTTTCTCATCTGCCACATATTGAGTCAATAGCTTCACTGGGGTCTCCATTATAACCTTAATCCTCATTTAATTACAGTCCACTATTCAACAATGTGTACATCAAATTAAGACGTTATGCCCCCAAAACACATCACATTCAACGTTCTTCAAGAGAACTACATTGTCCACTAAATTGCCTGTTCTATTTAAAGAGATTCCTCTCAAATTCCTCACATTTTATTTTCAAGATGTCAGTAACTTCTACAGACTTGGCCAATCTGTGGCATTTTCTCCCAATGATTTTGGGTATTAAGTGGTTGATTGAAGTACAGTCTCTTACCGGTAGATATCCAATTACGAGTTATTACTGCCCTGTCAATAAATGTCACATCAGTCACATATATGAAAAACTGTCAAAATCATACTTCAAAAAGAAACAGGTCAAGAATAAAAATAATGTAAATAAAATTTAATAAAAATGTCATTGCCATTAAAATAAGGAAGCAGACTGGTTCTTGTTTACATGCATCATCCATTATCTCTTATGCCCAAACATGCTCTTTCCAGCTTCCAAAGAGAATAACAAAAATATGAGAAATTGGTGAAGGGGTAGTTTTACTGGAAAAGGAAGGGGGGGGGAGATGTAGAAAATAATAGGACTGGAGGTGTTTGAAGAAGAGATAAGTGGGTATTTATCCACTTGGATAGTAGACGAGAGAGATTTCTACTTAAGTCTTAATTGTAAAGAAACAATTAAATTTCAGATAAATAAGCCTCATAAAAATCAGGTTTAATAAAAAAAAATTGGGCATACCGAGTATCTTGCTGCAATGAGATTATATTTGAGGCATATGCTTAGTTAGATCCCATCAAGTCCATCTATACTGTACCTATCACACAATCTTGGCCTCGTAATAAATTGAAGCTTTTCTAAAACGTTCCTGTAATTGTCTTCATGCATGTTAACCTTCCTTCCCTATCATTTAATCATAATCCATTCCATTTCTATTTTGACACTGTGATCAGAAATGGAACCACATTAAGTTCTTTCCACACTGCATACATCTGCAGGGCCTCCCTTCTTTGTGGCTCCTTTTATCAGACATTCATTATTCTGAGTGAAACTCCTTCCATATTATATGCTGACAGGTGGGTTCTCTCTTGTGTGGATCCTTTTATGAAAAGAGAGAGAAGTATTGTGGCTGAAACTCTTTCCACACACCTGACACTGATACGGTTTCTCTCCCGTGTGGATCCTCCTATGCGAATTAAGGGAACTGCTTGTAATGAAACTTTTTCCACAGTCGCTGCAATGGTATGGTTTCTCACCAGAGTGGATCCTCTTATGTGATATCAGGGAACTGCTTGTATGAAAGCTCTTTTCACATACTGTGCATTTATACAGCTTTTCCCCTGAGTGGATCTTCTTATGGGAACTAAGGTGGCTGCTTTGACTGAAGGTCTTTCCACAATCCAGGCATGAATATGGTTTCATCCCAGTATGGATCCTTTCATGGGAACTAAGGGAAGCACTTTGGCTGAAACTCTTCCCGCATTCCGTGCACTTATATGGTTTCTCCCCCGTGTGGATCCTTTTATGGGCAGTGAGGGAACCACTGGTGGTGAAGCTCTTTCCACAGTCTGTGCATTTGTATGGCTTCTCCCCTGTGTGGATCCTTTTATGGCAGGTAAACTGACTGCTTTGAGTAAAGCTCTTTCCACACTCCATGCATTTGTAGGGCTTCTCTCCAGTGTGGAACCTTTTATGAGAAGTAAAGGAACTCAAGTCTCTAAAACTCCTTCCACAGTCCATGCATTGGTAAGGTTTCTCCCCTGTGTGGATCCTTTTATGGGAAATGAGTTCACTGCTTGTACTGAATCTCTTCCCACACTCCATGCATTGATACGGTTTCATCCCTGTATGGATCCTTTCATGGGAAGTAAGGGAAGTGCTCTGGCTGAAACTCTTCCCACACTCCATGCACTTATATGGTTTTTCTCCTGTGTGAATTCTTTTATGTGAAGTAAGGTTACTGCTCCAACTGAAGCTTTTCCCACACTCAGTGCATTGATACGGTTTCTCCCCTGTGTGGATCCTTTTATGGGAAGTAAGATCACTTCTACTTATAAAGCACTTTCCACAATCTGTGCATTGATACGGTTTCTCCCCTGTGTGGATCCTTTCGTGGGAAGTAAGACCACGTCTCATTGTAAAGTTTTTTCCACACTCCAGACATTTAAATGGTTTCTCCCCTGTATGGATCCTTTTATGGGAAATGAGATCACTGCTTGTACCAAATCTCTTTTCACACTGCAAGCATTGGAAGGGTTTCATCCCTGTATGGATCTTTTCATGAGAAGTAAGGGAAGAACTTTGGCTGAAACTCTTTCCACATTCCATGCACTTAAAGGGTTTCTCTCCTGTGTGATTCCTTTTATGGGCAGTAAGAGAACCACTTGTGGTGAAGCTCTTTCCACAGTCTGTACACTTATACGGTTTCTCCCCTGTGTGAACCCTTTTATGGGAAGTAAGTTGACTGTTTTGACTAAAGCTCTTTCCACACTCCGTACATTTGTATGGTTTCTCCCCTGTATGGAACCTTTTATGGGAAGTAAAGGAACTCATGTCTCTGAAGCTCTTTGGGCACTCCATGCATTGATAGGGCTTTTCCCCTGTGTGGATCCTTTTATGGGAGGTAAGGTTACTGCTCCAACTGAAGCCTTTCCCACACTCTGAGCACTGATATGTTTTTTTTCCCATGTGGCTCCTCTTATGGGAAGTAAGATCACTTCTCCTTACAAAAGTCTTTCCACACTCCCTGCATTTATATGCTTTCTCCTTTGTGTGAATTCTTTCATGGGAAATAAGACCACGTCTCACTGTAAAGTTTTTTCCACACTTCAGGCATTTAAATGTGTGTTTCTCCCGTGTGTGCATCCTCTTATGGGAGATGAGATCACTGCTTGTACAAAATCGCTTTCTGCATGCCGAGCATTGATATGGCTTCATCCCTGTATGGATCAGCTTCTGGGAATTAGGCAAAGCACTCTGGCTGAAATTCTTTCCACATTCCGTGCACTTATGTGGTTTATCTCCCATGTGGATCCTTTTATGCGCAGTAAGGGAACTGCTTGTGGTGAGGCTCTTTCCACAGTTTGTGCATCTACGTGGCTTATCCTCTGTGTGGATACTTTTATGCGAAGTAAGATCAATACTTGTACAGAACCTCTTTCCACAATCCATGCATTTATAAGGTTTCTTTCCTGGATTGGACTTTTTGTGCACAATATGATCATTGCTTGTATAGAAATGTGTTCTGTGTTCTCTGCTTTTACATGACTTCTCCACTCTATGAACGGTTTTCTGGGAGTTAAAAGTACTTTTCTCATTAAAGCTTTTTCCACTGTTTGAACTCTTACGTGATTTCGGTATCCCAATGCTTTGATGTAAAGTAAGATAGAGATTCGAATTATTTTTTCCATGTTCTTTACATTTAGGCTGCTTCTCTTTAGTATAGATACTGCTATATTCATGGACGTCTGATTTATGGATGGACATTTTTTCAGCCTTTACATAGCTCCCTTTTTCTTTGTGATGTTGCATATGGAAGGTGCAATTTTCTCCATACTTAAAACTAGAGGATTTCTCCATCCTATTGTTCAACTGGTTTTCAATCATGTTTGGCTCCTCCTGATTTTGCAATATCCCTTCTCCAGTTTCAGTTTGTTTCAAAGAATTCACATCCGATTCTTTATAATTCTCTGGTTCCTGCTTGTCAACTGTTTGGAAGAAAAAGAAAAGAAAAAGAAATCAGACGTTAAAGGTACGAAGTGAAAGTACCATCACATTATATTAGCTATATATTTATTTCAATACTGCTGTACCAGGTGATAGGACTATGAATGGGGGATTTCTTTACTGCATCTTGGATACTGGTTATTTCCGGAATGTAAGACTGCTTGGAGGTACCTGAAGTATGCGGTCCCACGAAACTCCATTATTTTTTCTCCATTGGAGAAAATAATTTAGTATCAAAGAGAAAATCTCTAGGGCAGTGGTGGCTAACCTTTTTCGGCTCCCGTGCCGATAATTGCGCACGCGCTCGCTTGCATGTGCTCGCATGCCAGCACCCAGAAGGCAATGTCTGCTACCCCCTACACCCCCTGCGCATGCGCGCATGATCCCCTTGCGTGCCGCACGTCTCTGCGCACGCGATTCCCTCATGCGTCTGAGCATGCATGCACGATCCCCTTGTGTGCTTTTGCGCATGCATGCACGATCCCCCTTGCGCACAGCGCATCTTTGCATGTATGCGCATCTCCCACACACACCCTCCGCATGTGCGCCAGATACCCAACAATCAACTGTCGGGCGGTGGCATGCGCATTGGGGCATCTTCTAGGCAACCTCTCGCGTGCCGGGGGGAAATGGCTCTACGTGCCACTTCTGGCACGTGTGGCATAGGTTTGCCAACACAACTCTAGGGAACACCGTCTTGAATTCAGGAGTGGGATATTATCAGCTTTGTTGCTTAACAATCAGTTTCAAGTGTGAAAGAAGGCAAGTTGAAATTAAATCTAGAGAAAATGGAGATGCTGTTGCTACAAGGAAACTGAATTTAGATACTAGGATTCAGCATGAATGAAATAAAAGTCGTCCTCCATTGGAACCCCCCCTCAACCAATGTGCACTCCAGGAGTTCATCTGTCCTTGTATTTGTTGGCAGTCATATAGAGATCTTTGTTTACCCACAGTAACAACTTTGAGATAAACAGTGTGAAACAGTCAGGATATCCTGCAGTGGTGGGATTCAAAAGTTTCTACTACTGGTTCTGTGGGCGTGGCTTGGTGAGCGTGGCAGGGGAAGGATGTTGTAAAATCTCCAGTCAGAGGTGGTATTTGCCGGTTCTCCGAACTACTCAAAATTTCTGCTACCGGTTCTCCAGAACTGGTCAGAACCTGCTGAATACCACCTCTGATATCCTGAACTTGATCTTTTTTCCCCCTCCCCCGACTGGTAAGATTGCTTAAACAAGCTACATCTACTTGAAAAGTTTTTCTGTTCTTTAATAAGGGCTAACCACAAATTAACACACTCTGCTCTGTAATAATAATGAGTTGCTTAGAACTTCCATTTGTGCTGCTGCCTGAAACTGACCAGACCTTAATCAGTTTCATAATGAAGGTTTGGATGTCCTAAAGTGAACAAGGCAAAGAACCCCAGTTAGCACATTCTTCGCAATGTTCATTTTCAATTTTTGCTCATTTACTCATAATATCTTCTTTCCAAATGCAAACATTAATTTCCTTCTTAATAATTATCCAACCACAGGGTGAGCAATCCAAAGGATGGGGGAATAGGAGGGAAAAGGTTTTAAGATTTGCCCTGAAAACCTAGTTTCCCCCTGAGTTGAACTGCAGAGAATTCCTTGCTGTCCCCCATTCCCCCCCACCAGGTATTTGGGGTGGAATCTCCCGGTACTCCGAGTATATTCAGGGACAATTTTTAATAAGGTTTCTCTAAGCGGTTACTTCCAATGCTGTTCTCTCTCCTACACTGTGGTTCTTTGGTATCTGTCCCGCAAACCCCAATTTAAGTATTGATGCACAAATGAGAAGCGACACTTCTGATTTGTGCATCAACGCTTAAATTGAGGTTTGTGGCACAGATACCAAAGAACCACAATGCGAGAGAGATTTCAAATGCTATTATAGACAGAAATAAATAAATAAATGTAAAAGGCGGTTCTGAGATGACTTGCATAGCTAAGTAAGCAGCCTTGGAAACTGTGTCTCAGAAGGTGTTTGTTCCTCTCTTGAGACAACATGAAAACATGAGCTCTTACCAGAACAAGTGGGAGAGGCAATTATTATTTCAATATTATTACTATTTTGATTTGTGGATGACGACTTCCAGTGAGGCGAGGAGAACCAATGCCTGCATTTCTCATGACATTTGAAATTGGTAGCTGGATGCGAGATATGGATTACTGAAATTCTCTCTGGAAGAAAGAGAAATCTGGAAATTTCCTATATGTATTTTGGACAGCTGGTTTTTGTGAGCGGACAGTAGAAATTATCATTTTTTGCACCTGTTTGCAATTAGCTGGGTTCCACCATCTCTGGGCAGTAAATGTAGCTTTTCAGGACTCAAGGTTTGATCAAACCTCTTCCTTTTAATAATTTTGGAGTATTAGTGGGACTTAAAGATGACTGGGAGGAAGAAGGAAAAATAAATAAAACTGGTTTACCTGTATATGGTTAAAGAGTAGGTTATGTTTTGTGATGTTTAATGAATATCTGATTGGATAGTTTTTCTTTTAGAAATATGCAATTGTGTAATGGACTAATCTTTTGATATCTAAATAAGGGGTTATTATTGTAATTTATAATAGAAGGATGAGGGGAATCTAGACTAAATGCTTAGATTAGGTTTTTAAAATTTTTACTACATCTTTATTAAGGCTAGCTGAAGATTTAGAAAAGACTTTATAGAAAATAGGGTAAGATATAGAATGAAAAGGTGTTGTACTGTAGTTTAAGAGTCAGTGATATATTGTTAATCTTCATTACTATTGAGATGAAAAGGGAAAACTTATTGTCTTCGCAAGGGGGTTGCACTTTCTATTTTTTTTCTTTTATGTATTTTTGTGTCAGGTTTTAAATTATCTTATTTATCATAATCCTTAATAAAATTATGCCAAGATTATTATTTTGATTTACATAGCCATCCATCTCACATACATAACTCTAGGTGCAATGCACATAAAGTCATATCAATTCTCTCCAGCTAAAGTACGTGCCTGAATATCCTCCAACAAATTGCTAAGCAATTTCTGATCTCTCATCAGAATATACCTTCCCGACCAATTTCAACCCAGAACAAAATGAATCTCTTACCCATGGACTCCACATGCTTAGCATTTTCCAGCATGACCTCTCTATACAGTGATTTTTGGTCAAAATCCAGCAGAGCCCACTCCTCCTCAGAGAAAAACACAGTTACATCTTCAAAGGACACCAGAACCTAAAGTACAATAGCAATCTTCGTTAACGAACAATTCCAAAAAATATTCACAAATTGCTTATTCTCATGGCAAATTTTTGATCAATTCCTGAGGCACGTTCATTAAGCAAGTATTGGGATATTACTACATGACACCTTAATGTCTTATGTTGCCCAGTAGGAGATACAAGTATTCACTGAACAAGATGAAGATGTCGGGAGATGTTCTCAAGAAGAAACTTGAGATACTATGAATATATGGATGGTATCAGAATACTGGGAAGATGCTTATGCTCTGATAAACTTGTTAGCTGGGCAATATTAAATTAGCTCTGAAAAACTGATTCAGACCACTGTGGAGAGCGTTTCATGTTCCTTGAATAAATAATTTTGCACTTTGGGAGGTGGGATCCTCCTACCTGAGTGGGAAGTACAACCCTTGTTTCTGCACCACCACAAAGAAGAGACCTTTTCATTGGTACAGTCACTATTGCTCCATTTTCTGAGAATGAGATAAAAGCAGAGGAAGTACATGTTTTAAAAACAGTAGGAGAAAAACTCTGCACACGGGGCTAAGGTATTATAGCAACAGGAACTCAAAGACTTCAGGCAATGGATACTTCCCAGTACTCCAATACATCAAAAGGAACCTCTTTTACCTGATGAAGTCTCCTGAGATGGATGCTCCTGGGACATCTTCCCGGAGACAATTTCTGGAGGGAGATGTGACACCCCCTCTAATGCTTCAGAACCTTGGGTGGCCATCTCCATGAACGGCGCACGAACCTAAAATAGCAGCCAAACAAAATATTACTGCCCCTGTCCCAACTTGTTTTATGTCCTCAGAAATAATCAGGGTGAAAATGGATAGAACCATTTACTTAACCAGGACAGGATTCTATTAAAGGTAAAGATTCCCTCGCCCATATGTGCTAGTTGTTTCTGGCTCTAGGGGGCGGTGCTCATCTCCGTTACAAAGCCAAAGAGCCAGCGCTGTCCGAAGACATCTCTGTGGTCAGGTGGATGGATGACTAAACACCAAATGTGTATGGAACGCTGTTACCTTCCCACCAAAGTGGTCCCTATTTTTCTACTTGCATTTTTACATGCTTTTGAACTGCTAGGTTGACAGAAGCTGGGACAAGTAATGAGAGCTCACTCTGTTATGCGGTGCTGGGGATTCGAACCGCCGAACTGCCAACTTTTCTGATCGACAAGCTCAGCGTCTTAGCCACTGATTATCCTAATTATATCAGAATGGAAACATGTAAAATTTATTCATATTGATCTCACCTGCTGTTTTTGCTGCATTTTCTGCTCCACTTGGCTCAAGAGGAAACTTTCAGCCAGACCCATTTCTGGAGAGCTGGTCTCTGTTTTACATATCCAGCCACAGTTCTCCATCTGGGACAGGGTGGCCAGTGGCAGGACCACCAAATCCATCATCTGAGTTTTCCTGTGGTCCTCTTGGCTCAGCCACCGATCATAAAGATGGTGGAGTTGGCAGCATACTTCTCGGAGTCCTTCAGCTTCCTGGCAACAGAACTCCCTGAAAGGGCAACGATGGACAACGCAATGTGTGGTTTCTTCTTTCAGAATGTCCTGCTGAGTTCTTGCCATTTTTCCAAATAAATCCAAGCGCTCTTCTGAATCTGCAAAGCAACTTTCATTCATGGGAGTAGAATCGCAAGGAGAGACCCCTTCAGCCATCTTGAAGAATGAGGCATTTCTCCCCTCCATGACTGGATTCTTTGGGAATTACCGTATGTCCAGCTTGCAGGCTAAGATGTAGAAAACTATAATCCAAAGCACTGACAGGAACCTTTCATTATTTAATATGTTTACAATTTACTTTCCTGAAAAATATCCACGAGAGTGGCTTGCAGGGATTAAAAGCAAAAACAGTAGATCACAACTGCTGATGAAAGATAATTGCAATGGGTGGGGGAAAAAATCTTGGACATTAACACATGTACCACTTCCACCACTGGTACACATTACAAAGGATATGCAAGTTTGTTTTGAAACTTAAGAAATCTTGAAGTTTGTGGGATTTTTTTTTAAAAAAAAACTATGTATCCAGGGTGCCACTTTGCAAAGACTCTGATATTGACACAAGAGGCGCAGATCAGCCTGAACTTTTGGATTGCGTCAGAAGGGGCTATTTCCCTTCCTCCAAACCCTGGAAGGATGGCTTCCCAAGCCAGGAAACCCAGATCCTCCAAACTGTGGATGTTCCAGATGCTCTCAACAGAAATCCAACCCTAAACTTAGAATAGAATAGAATAACAGTTGGAAGGGACCTTGGAGGTCTTCTAATCCAACCCGCTGCCCAGGCAGGAAACCCTACATCATCACTTCAGACAAATGGTTATCCAATCTCTTCTTAAAAACTCCCAGTGTTGGAGCATTTACAACTTCTGGAGGCAAGTTGTTCCACTGATCAATTGTACTAACAGTTAGGAAATTTATTCTCAGTTCTAGGTTGCTTCTCTCCTTGATTAGTTTCCACCCATGGCTTCTTCTCCTATCCTCAGGTGCTTCGGAGAATAGCTTGACTCCCTCTTTTTTGGGGCAGCCCCCGAGATATTGGAACACTACAAGAACATTACAAGAAGGTGTGTGGAGCCCTGAAACAGACCCAGGAAGGGTAGTTTGAAGAGTCCACCATGCCTCTCCTAAGACACAATTATAAGCTATCTCCCATTCCTCCTACGGAAAGCTGGTTTTTCCTTCCCCTCTTTATCACACAAGGAGAAAAGTCTTTTAACAAAATAACAGACTTGGAAGGGACCTTGGAGGTCCTACACCACTTCAGACAAATGGTTATCCAACATCTTTTTAAAAACTTCCAGTGTTGGAGCATTCACAACTTCTGGAGGCAAGTTGTTCCACTGATTCATTGTTCTAAGTGGCAGGAAATTTCTCCTTAGTTCTAAGCTGCTTCTCTCCTTGATTAGTTTCCATCCATGGCTTCTTATCCTGCCCTCAGGTGCTTTGGAGAATAGCTTGACTCCCTCTTCTTGCTGGAGTCTTTAAGAGGACTGCGCAGAATTCAATCTCTAATCAAGAAGCTCCTCTCCTTGCGGAAATTAAGAGCCCGGCGCACCTTGCAAAAAAAAAAAAAAATGGGGCAGGTGAGTGGGAAGTGCAGAAGGTGGAATATTGGGGGATTTCCAGCTAAGCCCCACAAGATCCCCTCCCCACACCTCCAGATCTGGAGATACCGAGAAGATCTCCTGGTCTGGCTGGGCAGCCCGACAGAATCCGCCACTTCCCTGCAAGGAGGCGCTTCGCAAGCCGGGCAACTGCGGAGAAAGGAAGGGCCAGCGAAAGAAGGAAAGAGCCGTTTGGAGGACAGGTCCAGCGTTTGGCGGAGAACGCAGCTTCCTGCAAAGCACTCCCTCGGTGTGGGGAAGGGTCATTTCCTGCCCTCCCCTTGCAAGCATCGGGCGAGATGCCGCTAGGAACGAGGCAAAAGCTCTTCGGCTGAACCCGGAGGTGGTTTTTGCAAAGGGGCGCCCTCTGGCGGGTCCTGAGTGCCAAGCCTGCAGGGCGATGGATGGGTTGCTCCAGAGGGAGATGCTGTATCATAAGGGGCTTTTGTCCAAGAAACCATCCCTCTGCTTGTCTATGGAGATTCTCAGACATCCAGGTCAGGGGTCTCCAACTTTGGCCACTTTAAGACTTGTGGATTTCAACTCCCAGAGTTCCTCAACCAATAAAGCTCTGCCCAGAAGCTTCTTGGATGAGAAGCAAAACATCTTCAAAGAAAAACAAGTAAGTCCAGTTGATTCTTGAAAAAGCACTTTTGGGACAATCATGACCTGGACATTTAGCTATGCAAGACCTGAAGAACCTTCTTGGATGAGAAACAAAATGTCTTCAAAGAGAAACCAAGAAAGTCCAGTTCCCTCTTGAAAAAGCAACTCTGGGACAACCAGGACCTGGATGACTGAGAATCTCCATAGATATTTAACTGTCTCTTAATAGTTGGTCTCACAATAATCAGAATCTAATTCCAGCAAAGATCTGGCATCCATAGCTATGTCTCCTGCTCACCTGTGAATGTTGAAGTCGGTATTGCAAATGGACTATGGGGTGGGGGCAATCCTCACCTTCACTTAGGGAAAGTGCATAACTGTTGGAAGTGAAAACCCACCCCTCTCCTAGGAAAATGAAATATTTTAGGATATACTAAAAAGGCAAAATATTTCCCCTAAAAAGAAAAATAGAAACTCAAAAGAGGCAGAAACTCTCACACACACCCAACCTTTACTGATGGGCCATTACTCTGGCCTGGGTCAGTCTATTTTACATAACAAAGATCTACTCCAGGTAAAGCTATATTAGGAATTGCTTAAAGCCCTTTCATTACATCATCATCCAGGAAGGCTTCAACCAAGCCTGGGACTCAGGACAGCCTACAGCAGGGGTCCCCAACCACCGGTTCACGGACCGGTACCGGTCTGTGGAACAAGTCCTACCGGGCCGCTGGTTTGCTGGGCGCCGCCATCTTTTTTTGATGAAAAAGTGCTTCCGGTGAGCTTTTCCGGGTAGAAAGCTCACCGGAAGCACTTTTTCTTCAAAAAAAGATGGCGGCGCCCAGCTGATGCCGGTACCGGGCCGCGGCGCCCAGCTGATGCCGGTACCGGGCCGCGGCATAAAAAAGGTTGGGGATCACTGGCCTACAGGGTTGCCCCTGCATGGCCCCATGGGAGACTGACAGCCAATCAGAATACAAGCTCAAATTCAAATCTCAACAGCAGGCATAAAACCAAGGGTTTCTCAGCATCTCTGACTCTTTTCTTTTCTTTCACCCAACATCTTGAAGCATGTGATCGTCCTTTTCACTTTGGAGCTCCAAGGCATGTGGTCCTCTCCACCATTAAACCATCTTTCCAAACAGCCTCCATGTTTCCAGTGTATTTTTCCCCACTTGGAACTGAATCCAGAAGGATAATTCTTCCAACGTAACAAAAAATGTATTTTTATATGAATGTATTTGATTCACAGGCGACTACAAATTAAGCAAGGGTGTGTTGGGAGAATTTCCCTCAGTCTAAAGTACCCTGTTAAAAGGTGTGTGTGTGTGTGTGTGTGTGTGTGTGTGTGTGTGCATCAGGAGCTTTTTAACTTCTACCAACTTCTTTTTAACTTCACCTCAATTCTCTCTCTAGGTCAGTGGTGGCTAACCTTTTTGGGCTCCTATGCCAAAAATTACGTGCGGGCAAGTGCACACACACTTGCATGCCAGCACCCAAAAAGGAATGCACGTAGCTTCCCCACGCCCCCTGCGCATGCGCGCACGATTCCCATCCCCACCCCCTTACCTGCACTGCGCCTCCCAGCTGATTTTTGGCCCTTTTGAGGCCTTTTGCGACCTGCCAAAGGCTTGAGGGATGCCTCTGCAGGCTTTGCAGGTGGAAAAATGGGTCCGTTTCATCATTTCTGGTATTTCTGGAAATATAGGAAGTGATGAAACGGGCCTATTTTTCGGCCTGCAAAGCCTACAGAGGCATCCCTCAAACCTCTGGCAGGCCAAAAAAGGCCCCAAAATCAGCTGGGAGACGCGTGCATGCGCAGTGAGGTAAATTTGCCTAGGGCTTGCATGCCCGCACAACAGGGTGGGCTTCAAAAATTTTAGCAAAGGGTTGCTGGGTGGGCGTGGCCATGGTGGGTGTGGCCTAGTCGGCCTCCTGCTCCACAGCCAGTGGGGGAGGGGCTCCAGAAGCTTTCCTCGAGCTTCTGAGAGGGCAAAAATGGCCTTCCCGGGCTCTGGAGGCTCTCTGAAAGCCAGGAACGGGCCCATTTCCGGCCTTCCCAAACTTCCGGGAAGCCCATTTTTCACCATCCCCAAGCCTCTGTGCATGCCCTGCATTTACCTGCATCCAAAATGGGCTGTGTGGGGACTTCTGGGAGGGGCGGGGTGGACGGGGCCAGCCAGGAGTTGGATTTGGAGGTTCTCCAAACTGCACAAAATCTTAGCTAGGGGCTCTCCCGAACCCCTGCCGAACACCCAGCAGCCCACCCTTGCTGTTACCCTAGGAAGGGTAACCCTCAGACTAGGAAGCCAATGCCATGAAAGTCAGTACTACAGGTAGTCGTCAACTTACGACCACAACTGAGCCCAACATTTCTATTGCTAAGTGAGACATTTGTTCAGTGACTTTTGCCCCATTTTACGACTTTGCTTGCCACATTTGCTAAGTGAAACACTACAGTTGTTAAGTTAGTAACACGGCTGTTAAGTGAATCTGGCTTCCCCATTGACTTTGCTTGTCAGAATGTCGCAAAAAGTGACCACGGGACACTGCAACCGTCATAAATGTGAGTCACTTGTCAAGCACCCGAATGTAAATCACGTGACATGGGGATGCTGCAATGGGTCATAAGTGTGAAAAATGATCACAGGTCACTTTTTTCAGTGCCATTGTAACTTTGAATGGTCACTAAATGAACTTGTTCTATAGGACTACCTATAGAAAGCTATACAGGTAGGCCTTGACTTTCAACCACAATTGAGCCCAACATTTCTGTTGCTAAGTGAGACATTTGTTAAGTGAGTTTTGCCCCATTTTACAACCTTTCTTGCCATACCTGTGAATCACTGCAGTTGTTAAGCTAGTAACACAGGTTGTTAAGCAAATCTGGATTCCCCATTGACTTTGCTTGCCAGAAGGTCGCCAAAGGGGATGCAGGACCCTGGGACGTCGCAACGGTCATAAATATGAATCAGTTGCCAAGCGTCCAAATGCTGATCCCATGACCATGGGGATGCTGCAATGGTCATAAGTGAAAATAAAAAAGAGTCATGGGTCATTTTTTTCCAGTGCCATTTGAACAGTCATTAAGTGAACTGTTGTAAGTCGAGGACCAGAAACCTAGACCTCCTGTCCCCCCTCCTGCCATCTGCAACTGGGACTTCCAGGATGAAAGCATTCCAACCGGCTCTGTTTGTCCTCCTGGGCAGGGGTCTCCAACCTTGGCAACTGTAAGACTTGGGGACTTCAACTGGGAACTGAAATCCACAAGTCTTACAGTTGCCAAGGTTAGAGATCCCTGCTTTTGGGGATGCAAGCAGCGCCTCCAACCCTTTGGAAAACCCCGGAGACAGCTAGGAACAAACAAACGGGCTTTCTTGCCCGGCGGCTGCGGAAAAGAAATGGATCCGCCCAAGCCTTTTCCTCGCCTGGGACCTCGATCTCCAAAGAGGCTTGCAGGCGGGAGCCACTGAGGCCGGAGAGTCGCGCAGATGGCAGCCGCGCCCAGGGACATCAAAGGCTCCGGGCATTTTCGTTCTCTCCAGGCTTTCCAAGGGTTAAAGAGAGCGAGTTCTTCTCCCTAGAAAGGCCATATTGAGGAGTGAGGGGGTACTTCTGACCCTCTTCTTCGCTTTCCCGGCGGATTCCCCTCAGAAAAAACAAACCCAGGTCTTTGAGGCATCTCGGGAAAAAACCATTGGGAGAGGCGGGGCTAAGATTTCCCGCCTGTCTGTGAGGAGGAATCGCGCGACTGAGACGTCCTCTTTTTCTAGTAAGTTAACGATCGTAATATTATAATAGTAATATAATTAAATAATATTAATGCCGAAGAATTCTGCCCTAAAGTCCTTTTCAAGGGTAGGACTCGCCTGCTACTGTATTGAAGATACGGTGCTAGCAAACATTGCTCCTGAGGAACAGTGGTCTAAAAGTGACCATCTCTGAGGGGAAGCTGTGGCAGTCCTGCAGGAAAGAAAAATCCAGAATATTGAAATGTTGAATTTCCCCAATCGGAATATTTCTCAAAGACATCCAG